AGAATAGTCCATGTTTGATATGCAGGCAAGGCACGTGCATGTCTTGAACCCAGCGCCACTTCACTAATTTGTTACCTCCTGGCCCCCGGGAACATCTGAGTTTGTGACTGCTGGTGTCAGGAATGTGTATGTGTGGGGATATTTTTTCTATCATATTTATTAAACTGTTGTACATTAGGAGCACTTAGCTCATCGAAAATGTTTTAAAGTTTCTCTCAAAAGCATAAATCCGAGCACAATTTGTCACTTTTATAAGCCCTGAAAATACCAAACTGATGTCCTCATAAAGATGCTGCCATCAGTTAAATGGATAAACTATTAGGTTACAAATGAAAAAGAGATCCACAGTTAGGGGTCTACTCATGTGCTGGTTTTTTATAGCCATCATTGCATTGATGGACCGCAGTCATGACACCATAAACACTAAGTGTACCGTGAATATATGGAGCCTACAAACACTCATGTGTGCGTGAGTGGAGGAGAGGTTGCTGAGCAGGGCCAGCTCAGATGGTAGCCCAGGTTGAGCACTCTGTATCTCTCAAAGTCATCATCAACCTAGACTGGCAGGGATATGAACCTTCTCCTCTGGAGATATGCAAGCAGTAGGCCTGGGGTGACCAAGTTAATGCAGGTCTGGATAGCTAATATCCCTGGCTCAAAACCCTCACTTCCACATCCATCATAAAATATTTCCCTGTTTATTCCTCATTTATCTTTTGGGGCTTTTTGATAAAACTTTGAACTGAAAAAGCATACTATGGCTAAATATAAATTTGAACATCACCATGCTACATGAGAAATAAAAAATTTTTCATTGCTTCCAACCAAAAGTGATATTTTTCAGATTAATAAAACTTTTCCTTAAATATGCCAAAATTAGCTACCAGGAAGAACAGAGCAGTTGCCCCTACTTAAGAACCCTATGAACATCTTGCATTTCCTACTTATATTTTTGGTAAATATATGTGTGTGTGGGTGTGTGATATGAATATATATATCACAAATATATATTTATGATTTTTTCTGCTTTAAAAATTTGTGAAAACACTAAATATACAATTTTGTATTTTGATTCTTTCATGTTTTCTGAGGATCTAATGTTTTTACTAGTTGAAATTATAGCTTCTCATGCCTATAGGATATTAGCTCATGTTGTTGAATCACAATTTATTAAACACAGCTGTATTATTTGCATATTGCTTTGACATGCTTTTTCTTTTTAATTTTTGAATTTAATTTTTTATTTTTCTTTAAGAGGCAGACAGAGCTCGCACACTCCCCCAGTCCCTGTTTCATTCCCTACATGCCTGCAGTGATGAGGCCAGCAGCCTGAAACACAACCCATATCTCCCAGAGTCTACATTAGCCAGAAGCTGGACTCAGAAGACAGAACCAGGAACCAAGCCCAGGCGCTGTAGGATGTGGGCATATTGACCACCAAGTCAAACATCTACTGCACTTGCTCTTTCTTTTATTTTTGGTACCAAAGATAATATTGTGGTTAAATGCTCACTTGTATCCTGAACACTTTATTTTTCAAAGTTCCTGGGATTATTTATAGTGACAAAAATCAATAACGTTTCTACAAGTGGGCTTCATAAAGTTCATGGAAATGCCTATTATGACAAAAACTAGGCATAGATTTGTAATTTTTTTACTCCAAAATGAAATTGCCTTTCAATCACATTTTTGTAGATTTTTGAAGTGCTCTTGCATCTGCAAGACTATCAAATTGAGATAAGAGCTAAGAAGAAAATTGAAGCAAAGTGGGAGAAAAGCAGGAGGCTTACTACTTTAGAAAGTGTTACTAGGCCAGGCCTCTCTGATGAGATCCGATCTGACACTTGGCTGCAAAGTACAGATGAGCCATGGGATACCTGTGGGAAGAGGGATCGGCAGGTATTACTGTCCTGAGGTTGGAACTTGCTTTGAGCTTTCTGGAACAGGAAGGAGTCCCGCAGGACTGGTGTAGACTGAGAAGGGATTACTGATAAGGAGAGAGGCCACAGAAGCACTGTGTTAGCGTTGGGGTGAAGTGGATTTTAGGTCATTATAAAGAATAAACCATAGCAGCAGGAATGGAAGTAGCAGACAGACCTCTCAGGTAAGAGGCTACTTAGTGTAAAAGTTCCGAAAAGGAGGTGACAGAGTGGTAGCTGGCGAATTGAAGTATGGTTTGCACTGTCAGCAAAACCAAAGGAAAGAAACCATTAAACAAAGTGAGAGAGAGAGGCTTTAATCTCTGATATTCTGATAGGAAAAATCTCTTTATATTGTGATGTAACATTTTTAATATTAGTGGTATAGAATATTGATTTAATTGCTTAGTTTTCATGTGGTTGTTTGGTTGTTGTTTTTTAAGGTTTATTCACTTGGAAGATGGAGTAACACAGTGAGAAGGAAATAGAGATCTTCCATTCACTGGTTCACAACCCAAATGACTGCAGCACCCAGGGTGGATCCAGACCAAAGCTAGGAACTAGGAACTCATTCAAGGTCTCACACATGGGTGGAAGGAATCCAAACACTCGGGCCGTCATAGGTGCCTCTCAGAGACGTTAGCAGGAAGCTGGATCAGAAACTCGGAATATCAGGGATCAGAACCAGACATTCTGACATGGGATGTGTGTGTCCCAAGCAGCAACTTAACATGCTATTCCATAATGCCTGCCTGAGTTTGTTTTTGTTTCCAATCAACTATATGTTCATCCTTATGCCATACTTAGGAATGGATTTTTATCATCAACTTTTATGAGAACTTGAACTATTTATATTATTTTTACTCATATCATTTATATTATTAAACTATTAGGTATTGGATCAATGGCAAATATCTTCCCAGATTGTTGGCCTAGTCTATATTGTATGTGTGGGTAGTTTGCCATTTGAAACCAAATCTCCACTTGGTGACTATAGTCTTAATTTCCACTTGGCCAAAATTCCTTTAGGAAAGCTTTCTTGGATTTCCAGGTGCTGGGATTCCCTTAGCTTCAGTCTCTAAATAATTAATGAATGACTCTGAAATGTATACTGTTAGTGGAGAATTGAAGACACTGTGTTCCAAGCTATTTTTCAGGTATGTTATAAAATCAGTTCTAGGGCAGGTGTTGTAGTATATAGTATACCTACATCCCATATCTGGAGCATCTCGTTTGAGTGCTGGCTGCTCCACTTCAGATCCAGCTTTCTGCTAATGAGCTTGAGAAGGCAGCACATGATGGAACATGAGTACTAGCACATGAGTCCACGTCCCCTACACAGGAGACCTGAGATGATTTCCTGACCTGGCTTCCACCTGGCCCAGCCAAAGATGTGGGCATTTGGGGAGTGAACCTGAAAGTGGATGCACACACTCTGTCTCTCCTCTGTCTGCCTTTCAAATAAACAAATCAGTCTTTAAAAAAGATCAGTTCCATTGCCTGCTTTGGTAAACAGAGCCTTCTGATTGGATCTGCGTCATCATTAGTGCCTACAGGTGAAACTGGTCCATAGTGATGCCCTTCGGACCTCCTGGAGTTGATCATGAGACTGGCGTCTTAAGACCCTGTACCCCTGCACTTTCACATCTTTTTATGTTTTACTGAACTTCTCAGGCATTCTCAACAGGCTATGTGATTGCCATTTTATTTTCTCAAATTGACCTCTTCTGGGGAAAAATTTGTATTCTTTACATCTAAACTCTCATTAATGGCATGGCGCTTGGGGTAGGTATTGAAAGAACATTATAGATTTCCTTTGGGTAAATAAATTCCTTTTTATAGGGACCAACAAATAATTGCTAAGTTGCTATATAACAGATGCCTCTTATTTATTGGTGATAAATTAGAATTCTTTAGATTTAAACACAAAATGAAATGAGGCATCTTATTCTAAAACCAACTTTCAATTAGCTATGCAGATGGTGAGCAGAGTGTGACAAAATACCCCCCAATGCCTATGATTCTGTGTTATGTCTCTGCGGAATCGTCACTGCCGGTGTTGTCTGTGATGAATTCAGGGTTTTATGTGTCTGTTAAATTACTATTTTACATATGCTGGTAACTAGGGCTAAATGGTTATTGTCAAACAACTGATGTGTCTCATGCGACCAAGATGGCACTAGAGAATGGGAATGTTTTTCGACGGGGAAGCAGAAGACAGATCCAGGGACACTGGGGTGCATGATAGACTGGGGAGGTGGGGAGGGGAGCAGGGGATGGCACCATCTCCACACGGGTGGAGACACTTGCATCTGAGTCTAATTTGTGATTTCAAGGTAGAGAACTTTGCATTAAGGATAGGATTCTGGTGGAAAGAAAGTCACTTCTCTAGGAACAAGCCCAGGAGAAAATGAAAGAGATGAGAATAGCCCTCACTCAAAGGATGGTGATGCGCTCCTTCTGAAGACAGGCGTGGCCTTGAATTTGTCAGGTGCCTAACTCAGAGCTTAGGTGAATCATTGGAGGAGCAGCACAGCTGATTGCCACAGAAACATCCCTGCAAATCTAGAGAGCATAGGCCTTTGATGGATGTGCCTATCATTTCTGAAATCTCTATGGAAGTTATAAGTTCTCACACCTTTAAAAACTTGCTTAAATGCAAACATATGGACTAGAAACCTTATCAAATAATATATCCTCTCCCTACAAAGTACAAGTTCAGCATGTAGGTGTTGATTTTCTGAGCTCTGTTTTAGAACAGCTACTGAAATATCATCATCATCAGCGTTCTAATGAAATGACCTAATTGCAGTCACCTCTTTTCTCTGTCCCAGTGCATTTTTAGAAAATAGGTCAAAGTCAATAGAATGCTTGGGTTCTTTTCCTGCTTCCAGATTGTTAAGTACCAATTTCCTGAGTATTACCACATTCACTCAATAAAAGGGAGGAAAGGCTATGAAATAAAGGAAAAATTGTTCCTGTCCCTCTGTGTTTGCGATTCATCCCTCTTGCACACTTCCAAGTCCAGGTAGACGTTCTTATGTTGTTTCAAGGCATATCCACGTGGCTCTCTTCCTATAGGTGGAGTGGCTGAAAAATGAGGAGCCCATTGACTCTGAACAAGATGAGAACATTGACACCAGGGCTGACCATAACCTCATCATCAGGCAGGCACGGCTCTCGGACTCTGGGAATTACACCTGCATGGCAGCCAACATTGTGGCCAAGAGGAGGAGTCTGTCCGCCACTGTGGTGGTCTATGGTAAGACCAGCCCAAAGGCCAGGAATGGAAGGGGAGGGCAGATAGCAGGGAAGTCAAGGGAGGTGTGCTTTATCAAAACCTTCAATGCTTAGACCTGCAAGGACCCCAGGGGTCATCTGCTGCCTGCCTCCCCCAGCTGGCAGGCAAGAACACATCCCATTGCTATGAAGGTATTCGCTGTTGCATCCAATATTAGACTTCCGTGAGATAGTCAGTGACATTTCCAGTTTCTCTGAAAAATGATTTTAAAAAGGCTGTTTATTTTCCTCCATTGTGTTTATATTTGAAGAGTTGAGGTGAGTAACTTCTGCTTCCCACCCCTCAACAAAGCCAGCATCCACTCTCAGCCTTCCCAGACCTGCTGTCAGATGCTTCAGCTCTTGGCATATGAAATTCACCAGAAACAAATATTACTATTTGCTGAATATCTCAGGTATTGTATAAGAGAAGTTCCTGGCTATTTAAGTAAAGGCATCTCCTGCCACAATAGAAAAGCCCTGGGATTTATTTTTGAAGTTGTAGAAATTCAAATGCTGATATTTTCTTCATATACGCTGAATTTTCCAGTGTTTTAGAGATCTGATGATAAGTCCTTTCTATTTTTCCTAACTACACTGCAAAGCCCATTCTCTGTGTGTCCCTCTTACTGTGGATGAGTGGACTGAGAGGCAGATGAGGTAAGCCCTACCTTTGCCTCGTTGGGCTCTGCAGTCTCTTGGTCTCCAGATGCCCAACTCACAACACCTGGCACAGTGGCTTGCACATAGTAGGCAATCAGTAAAAACCTCTCTCCTTGTTTTCTCCCCCTCCCCATCTTTGTCTCTCAGTGAATGGAGGCTGGTCTTCCTGGACAGAGTGGTCAGCCTGCAATGTCCGCTGTGGGAGAGGATGGCAGAAACGCTCCCGGACCTGCACCAACCCGGCTCCTCTCAATGGTGGGGCCTTTTGTGAGGGAATGTCAGTGCAGAAAATAACCTGCACCTCCCTTTGTCCTGGTGAGATATATACAGATTCCCTTTTCCCTTCTGATCCAGCAACACTAGCAAGCTGGTGGGAGGCAATCAGTAGCACCTTCCTTTCCCAAGTCAATCTCTAGGGCAGAGCCTCTGTCCAAGGTGCTGATGTGGAACTCATTTTGTCAACAAGAACATGGATGAGGTACCTCTATGCAGGGTTTGGGGACTTTTTTTTTCTACTCCAATGGCACCAAATATTCACCATCAGTAAGCCAAATTCTTAGAAGTACTATAATCCTGTGTGTGTTGGGTGGGGCTGAGCCATTCCCCTTCTGTCCTTGGGTTCTCCCATTTTGGTGGCATGCATGCATTTGTATAATAGTCAGCAGGGTTTGGGTGAGTTGCACAAAAGAGCAGGTACCCACACCTGACCTGTTACCCCCAGAAGCCAGTCATCTAAGCTTGTCAGTTCTCGCTGTGTGTTTGTTTACTATACAGCTGGCAGAGATTGCACATTGTCACAGCATCTGCAGTTTACATTTGGGCTGCATTTTCCTTCCTTTCTAAACAGAGAAACCTTATACACCAAATATGGCTTCTATAAGTTCTTTTGTTCCTCTCTTGCTGGCTATAACCCACTTTATTCAAAGAGAAATCAATGGGGTGGAAGATGACTTTCTCTATGGAAAGCATATCCTCCTACTGAGAAAAAAAATTGGCCCTGGATCTCACATGCAGTATGGAAAAGTAACTCCAAGAACACTGGACAAGAGCCTCATGGCTTATTTCAAATTTAGTTCCACTCAGAGCTAACATGAAAGTGCTCTCCAGCTGCATAGTCTTGGAGTTTCATTTTGGACTCAGATTCAATAACTTTTATTGAGTGCTTACTATGTGCCAAGTACTGTGCAAGTTGCTTTTAAAAGTGTAACACTGAACTCTGTGTTGTGAGTTTGATTTTCCCCAGTCAACGGAAATGATAAAATGGGACTCACTGATTTGCCCAGTTTGCTCAGTCAATAAATTGATAGATCCATGATACAGTCTCTGACATTTTATATCACATTCGATTTTTTTATCCAACTCTTGACTAATGCTTTAGTTTAAAAATCGCAATATCTTGACCCATATAAGCGTGGTTGAACTATTCCTAGGAGGTCATGGGACAATTGCCTCAAACATCTGGCATACTCTCTGGGGTTAGTTTTTACTAGAATTAAATCGTTTGTTCATTTCTACATAGAGCAGGAATCCATGATCCAAGAAATTCTATTTATGTAAGTCCTGGTGTCTTGGGGTTTGACTGACCTCTTTTAGTTTAATATTATTGATACATTTGGGTTTAAATTTATATTGTTCAGGCACTTTTAGGGCTTAAATATGGTCCATTTTACTTTTTGCTCTAAACTGTCACCCACAAGAAAGTGGCTGGTTACCAGTGGGCACTGCACACTGTTCAACTGTCCCTCTAAGATGCATGGGCAGGAAAGACTGGGAAAGAACTGATAATGACATTATTAGCCAGCCTCAGGTACTGGTGATTCAAATGCTTGCCTATATTCAGTAATGGTCTCCTCCTCAGATAGCAAGAAAATTACACCACCATTGCTGTTAGCCTATCTCTTTAGGAAAGAAACCATAGAGAGAAAATAAATGGATTTATTATTTTGTTTTTGATTTGGGGTGATTTCTTTAAAATCAGCTCTAAGAAAAACAGCTGTCCTGGGGTAAGTCTCTCAGCTGCTGCCACATCCATTCTAATGATGGCTTTTTGTTTCCCTTTGAAGTGGATGGGAGCTGGGAACTGTGGAGCGAATGGTCGGTCTGCAGCCCAGAGTGTGAGCACTTGCGCATCCGGGAGTGCACAGCACCACCCCCGAGGAATGGGGGCAAATTCTGCGAAGGTCTGAGCCAGGAGTCGGAGAACTGCACAGACGGGCTCTGCATTCTAGGTAACTTCTCTGTAGCATCCTCAGTGCCTGTCATGATATCCACACACTCACAGGTTCCAAGAAAGAAGGCCACCGCCATTCATTCAGTCGCAGTAGTTAGCAGAAGGTGGGATCCTCGAGAACAAAAGGAGATGGGTGGAAAGTGTAGAAAGTAGACAAGCATGTTTTGAAGGGAGTAATTTTAAATACTGTATCACTGTGAGTTCTATAAATGCATACACTTAATGATATATAATGTTTTCTTGTTGTTTTAAAGATGTGTTTGTTTATTTGAAAGTACGAGTAACACAGAGAGAAAAGGAGAGGCAGGCAGAGGGAGAGACAAAGAGAGTGGTCTTCCATCCGCTGGTTCACTCCCCGGATGGCTGCAATGGTCAGAGCTGAGCCAATCCAAAGCCAGGAGCCAGGAGCTTCTTCCGGGTCTCCCACGTGGGTACATGGACCCCAAGTACTTGGACCTTCTTCTGCTTTCCCAGGCCGTAGCAGAGAGCTGGATCAGAAGTGGAGCAGCCGAGACTCAAACAGGTGCCCATGTGGGTTGCCGGCACTGCAGGCGGCAGCTTTACCTGCTACGCCATAGCATCAGGCCTGTTTTTTAAAGAGAAATTACTTAAGGAAGTAGTTTAGAGTATCCTTTTAGGACTTAAGATTATGTTTCACTTGGATGAAACTATCAGTTTCAGAATCCTTAAAGTTCTCCCAGAATTTTGCAGCCCTGAAAGGCATTGAATAAACCTTCAGAGGCCATGGTGATGTGGCAAGGAGCATGTATTAGAGCTGTGTCTTCCACGTGGAGAAGGCAGGCAGGCAGACTCCTGAGGAGCCGGGGGCTGGGATCAAACAGGAGTCATTTCAAATCTCCCCAGCCTTTGCTGTGTTCCTGAGATGCTGCTGTCACCATTTCCAAGTGGCTGCCTGAGCTGCAAGGTTCAGAAGGGTGAAAAAGGGTGGAAGAAGGGCAAGTTTTGATTTTTTTTTTAAGATTTCATTTATTTATTTGAGAGGCAGAGTTTCCGAAAGGGAAAGATAAAGAGAAAGGTCTTTTATCCTGTGGTTCACTGCCCAAATAGCCACAATGGCTGGAGCTGAGCCATGAGCTTCTTCCGGTGGCCCAAGCACTTAGGATGTCTTTGCTTTCCCAGGCAAAAGGCAGAGAGCTGGATCAGAAGAGGAGCAGCTGGGACTAGAACTGGTGCCCATATGGGGTGCTGGCACCGCAGGCAGAGGCTTAGCCCACTACACCACAGTGCCAGCTCTTGGTGCTGTTCTTTATTAGCCTTGAAACCCTGGGGCAGCCACTTCACTGCCTCATTTCTCTGACTGTAGATACCAAAAATGATTCCCACTCTGAATTTCTGTGAAGACTAGATGAAAACCCAACTTATATTGGAATCTTTCCTAGCATACTGTAGGTGCTCAGTAAATATTAATCCCTTCTTTGTTCCTCTGCTTGCTTGAGCTAAGTGTATTGATTTTGCTTGGGTCCTGAAAAACAGGAGACGGAGGCTAAATGAGGGGACATGAAAAAGTCAGTAGAAAATGGAGTTACAAGATAAGGTTGTTTTGGTGCAAAGGAAAATTGAAATCCATGCATACAAGGGTTCTTCAAAAAGTTCATGAAAAAAAAAAACTGCATGGGCTTCAAAAGTTTTTTACATCAAAATAAACATTTTTCAATTTCATTTCTTCATGAACTGTTGGAAGTACCCTCCTAGGTATGCTCTTGAGGTAGGTGTCTTTCTTGGAAAATTCCATGTGAAATACCCTGAAAAAAGCACAATGTCTCAAGTTTTTTTTTTTTTTTTTTTTTAATAATTTCAAGGGTGTTTGTTGCTTTTTATCTAGTAGATGACAGGGTGGAGGAAACACCTAGGCTGGACTTAACTTTTCTGCAGTCATGTGTTTGGATACCCTTGAAAGCAAGCACATGCTAAATATTGTATTTTCAAATAAATCTACATGGTTAATACTGGTTCAAATGACGAGTATATTAAAATAAACCATTATTACTGTTAGCAAAACTTGGTGTCTGTCCCTAATGCCAAGTCAAAATGACAAGGATAAGGTTTTTGGGTGAAGAGAAGAGAATATTAATCTGTCAACAGATGAGAGGGTAGTAGACTCAAGAATGACCAATTTCTGAGTAAGAGCATCTTGGGGTTTCTAATGAGGCTCCGTGGAAAGGATGCTGGTGTGGCAGAACCTCAGAGGGGTCGCAGGTCTCCAGTGTAGGGCACCAAGGCTTGTCAGGAAAGCCATGGCAATCATCGTTTCTCTGTTTCATCATGGTGGTTCTTGAGGGCCACAGCAGGTGAGATGGCATCTAGCCTGACCGGATCTTCCTGCTCTGCCACAGAAGTTGAGATAAGGAACACGGCCATGTGTACCTTTAGACATGAGCTCGCGGGACCCACCAGTGCAGCCCTGAACCATCAGTTTCCCAGGTTTACATTTAATATAAGTAGTTAGAATTGTTTATGTACGTTGCTTTATACCTGGTTACATGTACAGGCCACAGACATAGTGCGTGAATTTTCTAGTATGGGTACTGAGTAGCCTGTATGTGATAGATACAGTGCAGGGACTGTAATGTATCAAAAAGTTTGTAGGGAAAAATGTTTAAACAATGTTTATTTTGATACAACAGAATGTTTGAAAATCTATTTAGGTTCACGCATCTACCAAGAACTTTTTGAAGTCCTGTCATACAAGACAACCTAGTGCCAGCTTCAGTGATGCAAAAGCTATGCTCCTCAGTAAACATCTACCAACCATTTGTCTTCACAATGCCTTATCTCTTCCTAAGTGGGAGGAAACTGAATAACAAATTCAGGAGCAAGATCTTTAAGGGACCGGGTTTCTGAACACCCTTCTATACCACTAGATTTTTCTGAAGCATACCTTTGAGATGTGACTGTTCTATATTATTGGGGTCATGTTTTAACATTCCTAGTCGGGACTGTGAGTTTCCACTGGAGTATGATTGTTGCTAACAGGGTTCCACATCCGTTGAACTTAAAGAGCTACTGAATGAAGACAGTGGCTAGCTGTAATGTAAAATAAGTTATCTGATACGTGGGCATCATTTGCATTTATATCGTCGTATAGGCATTTACCAGTTGAGTAAGAATAGTGTGTGAGGTTAAAGGAGTTATCAGCCCTGAGAGTGCAGTGTCTTTCCAATTTTCCAACAATAACATCTGAGATTCTCCCAAGAAGCAGAACCAGTAGGACACAGAGTGAGAGGGTGTGGGAGAAGGAGGAACAAAGAGAGAGGAAGAGATGCCGGAGAGATGTTTGGAGATATTTATTATATGAAATTGACGCAATTATGAAACCTGGCAAGTTTGCAGTTTACACAGCCAATGTCCCATTTCGTATCTGCGTGGTGACAGACCGCCATGGAACCGGGTGGATCTGATACCTTAGGGTAAGGCTGTTTGAGCAGAGAATTTTTTCTTATTCTGCATAAGCCTTTTGTTCTAGTTAGGTCTTCAACTGGTTAAAAAAGCTCCATAAACATTCTACTTAAATTTTAAGCTCATCCAAAAACATCCCCACAGACACACCTGAAATACTGTCTAACCGAAGATCTGGGCACTCCGTGGCCCAGTGGAGTTGAAGCCTTACAGATGTGCATGTACTTGTGGAGTTGAGTTAGCTTACTCTTTCTCAGAGTTACTCAAGGCCATGGTTCAGGCAGTGGCTTTGGCTTTGATTTACTGAATAAACTCTTCCTATGGCATTAGCCATATGTGGCTTTAGGTGCCCGTGAGTAGTGTGATAAGTATTCTGTTTATATTTTCCTGTAGTGGGAATAGCTAGGAAGCATGAGGTTTGGAATATGTTCAGTGTTCGAGATAAAATGTCTGCTAGTTCTCCAGTGAGTTGAACATGCTATGTGAGCCTGTTCATTCTTTTCCATCTAGCCATTCCTCTTTCCACAGCAGCATGGTTCTCTACATCCCTTGCTCTCACAGCATGCATATTAAGGTATCTTTCAAATATGATCGGAGACCTTAGAGTGCTACATTGAGTAAACTTTTTGAGGGGAAAAGATGTAGTCCATAAAATCACAGAGGTAAATGAAATGAATTTTCCCCTTTTCAGTGGCAAAAGGATGTGTTTATAAGGACCTACCGAGAGTATGTATGCTGTCTTTTTAGACAAAGTGGCTACCAGTGTCAACAGAATCACATAACAGTTTACTGTTTGTGCAGTAAGCAATCCTGTTAAATGATGCCAACATTATTCTGTGCTTCTTTTTCTTAACTTTTATTTAATCAATATAAATTTCGAAAGTACAACTTTTGGATTATAGTGGCTTTTCCCCCCATAGCCTCCCTCTAGGAGTTACTCTGTGCTTCTTGCTGGTTCTCTGTTGCAGTGTTATTGGTTTGAGGGGAAAAAAAAAAAAAAAACTATGCTCTAAGGATAGAACTCCAATGAAGGCTGGCTTGGATTAAAATAGCATTTGGCAATGACTTTGTGGAGCAGTAGCTTTGTTGAAGGATCTGGGTCATGTTACAATTTGGGAATTCCCTTCATCCTATTTATTTCCCTTTTTGCCACACATGACCCTAAAGCAGTTCCTCATTTTGCACCTTCCCTTGCAGGTTTTACAGTGACATTGGTTGGCTTTTGAATGACCTACAAGTTTTTGATTTTATTTAACCTTCAGCAAAGCGTCTAGATTTCCTTTGTTACCCCTGCGGGTTGCGTTTCTCCTAGAGATGGAGCTGCCATCTCTGACTGATCACTTTAATATTTGGGTGTGATGGTTGCTTGGTCAGTTGTAACTGGACCACAGCACCTTGGCATTGTGTGATCACAGATGGCCACACCTAAATGCTCCCAACAGAAAATAAATGCCCTAAGACTGGTGAGAGTGAGATTGGATGCCTTTTGCCAATGGCAGTGAGTCTACAGATTCAAATTGCAAGTTTAAACCAAACAGCCAGCGCCTTTATGCCAGAGAGTTGTTTGTGCAGAGAGATAATTATGAGACGTGACTTTCAGGAAGAATTTGAAGCTCCATGTTTTCTGAGCTTGAGCAGCGGAAACCTGTGGTTTTCTGACCATTGCCTTTTCGACTCACTGAGCATGACTGCTGCTATGCTCTGAGAATCTTAGCCCAAGGTAAATAACCTGCACGGGCCCCGTTGACAGGAACAGAAGGGTGGAAGTGGCGGGGTGTTTAGTTTAATCGCGAGGAGTACGAGGAGCCTGCCCCCTCTGTCTGTCTTCCAGAAGATAAAAAACTAAGGACTCTGGCTTGAAAAGATTAAATGGATCTGCCTTAGAGGGGATTAGTGCCTCGATGTGCAGAGTGACTCAAGCCAGAGAAATGCCACAGGGGCCTGAACCAGAGAGGAAATCTTCAGAGCTGAGCTACCTGAGAGCTAATCCATCCTTCTTGTCAAGATGTACCAGGGGTCAGCTCAACACTGCCGGTTCAGAAGCGGAAATATCAGTTAAATGGTGGTTTGTTTTCATTTCTGATGGGCACATTGATAAGAATATCTTGAACTGACAGTTTGGAAGCCTCATCCAGGATAGACATCTCTGCGGTATAGCCGATTGAAATAAATACCCCCAAGCTACATCTAATAATCTAAACACATGGATGGTTGAATGATCCACTTAAATGACCTACAGGAAGCACCTGATAAGAGAATGCGGCAATCAGATGAAAATAATAGTTGCTTTGTTAAGCATTTTCGCCTGGACCTATTGGAACCTCATTGTTATCCATTACAGTAATTACCCGGGTCCCTTTGCTGTATTTCCTAGGGCACTCAATAAGAGAAATTTTAACCTGCAGATAGTCATGTGCATGCAAAATGCTCTTTTATTTTTTTCCCTTTGTTTTATGGAATACCTACTTTGCATATAGGATTAGAACAGATGGATATCCTTTTACCAAAACAAAACTCGTGTATTCCTTTCTCTGAGCAGAGTCGGGAATGAACTTGACTCCTTCTTAAACTTTTTGTCAGATAAATTCCTATTTCAGAACCAGCTGCACCACACAATTGCTTCATGATAGCAGAGTGAAACTACATAGCAAGAAAATGCAAATGACCTCAGCAAGGTAGCAGACTAGCACAATGCATTCTTGGGTTGCTGTGTAGATTTCTGGGACTTGCTGATTCTCCCCCATGGTTTGAATTTCTGTTCTGTTTATAGGACATAGTAGGTGCTTCGTGTTACATAACATATTTTCCTGGAAATACACCATAACTGCCTTTGTGAATAGCAAGCAATAGTTTAATTTAGAGTTGCCATCTTGTGTGCGGCACAGCAAATGTGGATCTAATATTACAGACCCACAGGAGTCGTAAGAATGTAGATTTGGACACACATGGAGTCATAAGCAACTTAGCAGCCATCTCTCCCTCATGCCCCCATAAACACTCCCCCATCATAGGAGCCCATAGGAAGACCAGTGTGCCACAAAGCTTGGTGAGACAGATTGGACTGGCTCAGGACTGAAGTTGCCCTAGTGCTTGGTAAGAAAATGCAGAAGAGATTTCTTTTTTTTTTTTTTTTAAACTCCTGTGTCTTAATAAAGGCTTTTTACAAACTTCTGCAAAGCTTGAAGCTGTCACGTTTGTGCCTTATGATAAGAATTATTGCAGTCAAGTTCAATATCCTGAGCGGAGTCACATGGAAAGAATAAACCTCGTGTACAACAAGTTGCCACCCACTGTAGACTTTCTGTTCTTATGCCTTGCTAATAAAAAGATAAAGACAACCGATTGTTTCTGAGCATAATCCCTCGTCCAAATGAGGATTGGCTCCATCCAGATGTGTGCTTGATGTGTATTTCATATGCTGCGAAGATCTGTGGCCTTTCTTATCAACCAGCTCTGAAGCACTTCAGCTGCCTTTTGTCACCATCTCCGTGTCACTGTGGATCTGTGCTCCATGTGTGAGGTCATGACAGTGTACCCTAGGTAATCACGGCTCTCTCAGCTAATAGAAGCCAAGGGAATCATTCTGGCCATCACGTTCCTCCATGCCTTCTTCCCCGTTTCCTGTTCCCATCCATCTCCCTGCAGCACATTTAAATATGTGCTTTCTCCTTCTGCTTGTGTTCTTTTGGTAGAATTAGAGGGAAGTGCAGGCTGTCGCTAAGAAACATCCTCTCTGGAAGGTGGTTTATCGAAGGCACATCTTGTTAGCTGTGTTCATTTTATGAGAGGCATCGAAATAAAACATCTCCACTGTAACAGGAAGGGCTCTCTAACTAAATCTGGGCAGCTGGGAAACAGGCTGCAGGAGCCTCCAGATCACATTATAGTGAGAGAGAGAGGAAAAGGGCAAAGCCCAAAGTGAAACATTATGAAAACTCAAGAAAACCGAGCAAGCAGATGAGAACAGGGCCCTGTGACAGTGCAAGCTGAAGACAGGATGCCATTAAAAAGCTTAAGGACATTTCCTACAGATGTGAAAACTCAGTCATTGAACCAGATGGTTCAATGCAAACCCATTTCAAAGCAAAGACCATTCTGCAGGTGCCCCCTCCTGAAGCACAGGCAGGGTAGTGGCCCTGGGCTGAGGTCTGGGGAAAGGTACAGAGGCTGAGGCTTCAGGAGGTTGGCCCAGGTGGGCCTGGGATGTGTTTGCCAGACACAGCAGAGGCCTGACAGCTTCCCAAGGCTCTCTGATTCTCAGGTGAAAGGCAAGGTTTCTCTTTTCAAAAGATTAGAAATGGACATGAACCCAGAACTGGGAGAAATGAATGAATGAAGTCTACTGAACTTGAACATTCACCCCCTGCAGGGGTGGGGGACGGCCAACCCCTGGGCTGTGTAAGGGCCATGAGATCACCTTGTCTGGCCCTGCCAAGGTGCTGCAGGTGGGCCTCAAAGTTCGGTACATCCACGGTTATAGCAGGCTGGTTTTTAAGTTGATCGTTTTATATGGCCCATGAATGATGTTAAAAATACGCAGATAGCCCTTGGTGGAGAAAATGTTCCCCCACCCCGCCAAACAAGGGGTTTGAGAATCAGGGCTCTGTGGTCAGATTGCTTGAATTCACTTTCTGGTTGTACCACAAGGGCAACAATTTCTTAAACATAAATGTGGTTATCTATAAAATAAGCATGCTAATAGTATCTATGATAAAGGGTTATTTCAGAGACACGATGATGTACTAATCTAAAGCACTTAAGACTGGTAGTAAGCTATCTACATAAATTGTAATAACTGTGTAAGCTCGTGTGCATGCAAAATCGCCTCCTAATGAAGAGATTTCTATGACACACGAAAATGTTTCCCATGTTCTTCAAAAGTAACAACAATTTTACACTTTAGATGTTTTGCTCAACATTTCCTAATGTATCTGGTTAATAGAGTGTTTCTAATCAAATAAAAAGTACTTGCCATTAAAATCCATAAGAGCCACAAATTATGTTCTTCATACAAACCAATTCTAAGCAGTCATTTGGAAAACAATGTCAGTTGTAGAAAAACAGAGTTTAGCGAACGCTTACAGTTTACTAGAATTCCTAAGCTTCCTGTCACACACAGATTTCAATATCCTTCCCTAAAACCTTTGCTAAGTAGCTTTCAGTTTTCCAGCTTTCTCTTCTCAACAGCTGAGACTTGGTGCTGAGGAGGAGACAGACTAGGTGACCTGTAAGGTCCCCGACAATTCTAAAATACTGTAAGTGTACCCCAAACCAATAGTTCAAAAAATAATAAGGCAGTGGCTTGAGAGAGAAAAGGGAGAATACCAAAGGGACCTGGATGAGCCACAGGTGAGAAACACATCTTCAGGATAGTGGTTTTATTTAGCAAGTGCCAGCTGCTTCCCAGTACACATGGCCATCAATACCATATCACCAGATTTTGAGAAAAGAAAGCTGTCTTGCAAGGAGACACGAGGCAAGGCTTCACTCTCTCCCCCATCTGAGGTCTGGGCAGGTTTTATGCGGAGGAGAGGACCAGCCAAAACGTGGAAGCCATGGAGAGGCATGTTCTCACCAGGGAGGCTGTACCACCAGCTCTTTCTGGTCAGTGGACCCCTCGCTTCTCCAGGAGTCATGACAATCAGGTTCTGGTTTCCTTGGTTCCAGGAGTTATTTATGGCTGAATGCTTCCTCCTCTGCTCCTGCCCAGGTGATGTGACTTGCAGTTTGGGCTCTGCTGTATCTGTTGACAAGAGGCAGCCCACCTGTGTTAGATCTCTGCCAACAATGAAGCATGCCCTAGGTAGTGGCGCCTCCACCCCAGTGTTTCTTGTCCATGGTGATTTGAGCCTCTGTGGATGTAGTGAGATCCAGGCAGAGATAGTTGACCCTGAAATGTGCAGCTTGTAGGATCTTGCACATTTCAGCCTAGGAATCCTCTGCCTGCCTGGAGTCAGATCCATCGCAGGACCTGGGTGCCTCCTCCTCCCATGCACACTCACCTGCCTGCTCAGCCCATGGTGGTCTTCACTGGGAGAGAGAGTCCACACTGCCCATTGCTGACAGAGCAGGGCCAGTCTGAGCTGGGTCTGTAATTACATGGAGGGTGGGATATATGGGTTTCCATCATGCATGAGAAATATATATGTTCTAACAACCTTGACAGAAAATAATTTCTGCACAGCATTTGTCAGCACAAATTCAAAAACTTCTTATTGGCAAGGGTGGGTTGGGGAAACAGAACTAAACAGCCTAGAAATGACTAGACCGTGTACCAATTTGCAGATCCCATGGTTGCCCTAACCATTCTGCAATAATTATTTGTTGCCTATTTGCAACATATTCCCATTCTCAGATTCCAGAATTAACAATCTTGCTGTTCTGTTTCAATACCTATTAATGACTGATGGGTTTGAGGATCAGTACTAATACCCAGGCTCCCTTCTAAGTCAGGAAGTTTCCACAGTTTAGGTTTTCTGTCATATAAAGCAAACTCTGTTTCATTAGTTCTGTGAATTATACTTTCTACGTTTGCAGTGCAATTAATCAGGAGTCCACAGTACAAAACTCCAGGTGAGAAATATGGCTCTGAACTAGAGAAAGATTTAAAATCTGAGATCATAGAGTGGTTGGGCTATAAAAGACATGGCAAGAACCCAATCAAGGAAGTGATTTAAAACTGAGTAATCTAGTAAAAAAAAAAAAAAAAAAAAAAAAAGTGGTCTCTGGAGTGAGCTGAACAAAGCAAAATAGAGAAGAGAGGAGACTACTGTTTTGATCCCACCTTTTTTCCTTAAAAATTAAATGCATGGCTGTAAGATCATTGAGAAAGGTGATTCATGAAGCACAGATGCTGTTAACATCCCCTGTAGCCATTATCTTTGATTCCAGGAACCCCGACCTCCCTCTTTCTCCACAATGTTCACATTATGAGAAAAGACCTGGCCTTGCTTGCTTGTGTTTGGTTCAGGACAATGTTCAGTGTTCAGTAGAATGGAGAATTGCCGTGAAAGTTTAGAAAGGTGTAATGGAGTAGTAAAAAGAGCTCCAAATCAGGAGCCAGAAGTCCTAGGTCCCAGCTAAGGTGTTTTGTTAATGAGTATGTGACCTTGGGCAGAGATGAGGATCCTTGGTTTTATGTCCATAAAGTGAGGAGGTTGACTGAGATGACCTCCACATTTCATCCTTGCTTAAAACTTGAAATTATTATAATTTTATATCTTCAATATAGCTTTTACATATATACAGTACAAATCATATATATATATATACAAAGATATATATAAATTATCTATTATAATTATTATATATGATATATGTAGTGGGAAAATAATACCATTGTCAAGTACTTTAAGATCATGTTTTAAATTACTTTTGAAAATTTTATTCTAATTCAGTCACACCTAAAGTTAATCATGTGAGTGATTTTTAAAAATATGTATTTGAGGGGCTGCACTGTGGCATAGCAGGTAAAGTCTGCAGTGCCAGCATCCCATATGGCTTCAGGTTCAAGTCTCAGCTGCTCTACTTCCTATCCAGCTCCTTGCTAATGTGCCTGGGAAAGCAGTGGAAGATGGCCCAATTCCTTGGGCCCCTGCACCCATGTAGTTGACCCAGAAGAAGCTCCAGGCTCCTGGCTTTGGATAGGCTCAGCTCTGGCTGTTGTGTCCATTTAGGAAATGAACCAGCAGATGGAAGATCTTTCTCTATCTCTCTCTCTGCCTCTGCCTTTCTGTAACTCTGCCTTTCAAGTAAATAAATAAATATTTTTGAAAACTTATTTGAAAGGCAGTGTTTCAGAGAGAAGAGAGGGAGATCGATCGATCTTCCATCCACTGATTCACTCCCTAAATGTCTTCAATGGCCAGAGCTGAGACAGACTGAAGCCAGGAGATAGGAGCTTCTTCTGGGTCTCCCACATGGGTGGGAGGGGCCCAAGGACTTGGACCGTCTTCCACTGTTTTCCCAGGAGCATTAGCAGGGAGCTGGATCAGAAGTAGAGCAGCTGGGACTCATAACTGGCACTCATATGGTATGCCAGCACTGCAGGTGGCAGCTTAACCTTTTATGTCACAGCACTGGCCCATTGAGTGACCGATTATACAGAGTGTGGGGACAAATTTTAGGTATGAAACAAAACACCATATCCCAACAAAACATGTTTCAGAACTCACCTAGGTACTCACTCAGCAAGTCCAGCATGTTTAGCATTCAATTCCACAGTCTCATGAAGAAGCCACCATGTCCAGGAATTCACATAGATCGTAGGAAATCTTTGGAGCCTCACTTTGTAATGCTTGTAATTGAAATTGCCTGCAGAGAGTAGCAACACTGATTTAGTACATAAATGCTTATTAAGTACCTACCACATTCTGTTTACTGTCCTAGGCACTGGGGATAGGTGAATAGAGAGGCATAACTTCTATGTACAAATAGCTTGGTCTGTACTTTAGGTAAATTTGTTGCCAGCATGAGGACTGACATAGCTGAAGAAACAATTTGGAAGGCAAGAATCCTCGATTCACAACTCTTGTTTAAGCTTTTTAATGACAAAACTGATAGCCTGTATCTATCAGTTAGTAGGTGTTTCCTTAGCAGTTGGTCAACAGCCATTCTAACAACAACGGCTCCCAGAATTCACCCTTACCATCAATGCATTCCCAACTCCAGCCTGCCTGTGATACAGAAACCAAAGGGAACAGGAAGCCACCGTGACACTAGGTCAAGGCTGGCACTGACGGATAGGACTTCTGTATCTAACTTTTCTGAAGAATAGCTTAGAGTTAAAAGAGATTTAATGTATCTATATACATATAATACATTCCTGTGAAATATTCAGCACAACCATGCTAATTGGTATATCTGCCACTTCACATAGCTTTTTTTTTGTTGACTGTGCATGTGGTGAGAACTTATGATCTATCCGTCTTGATAAATTTAAATGATATAGCATAAACAATTACCTTTAGTCACATCGTTGTACATAAGATCTCTATAACTTATTTTACAGGAGTGGAAGTTTGTCCCTTTGCCCAATTTCTCCTCACATCTCCTTCCCTCTGCTTATGGCAAACACCATTCCAGTCTCTGTTTCTAAGAGTGACTCTTTCCATCCTACATACCTTTAACTAAGATTGTGCAGTATTTGGCTTTCTGCATCTGTCTTATTTAACCTAGGATCATGTCCTTGGGTTCATACACGTTGTTACAGATGGCAGGATTTGCTTATTTATATGCTTATTTATGTTATATATATTATATATAATACACATTTCTATACACACATATATACATGAAGGATTTTCAAAACTTCATGGAAAATCTATTGTGCAAAAACTACTAACTTGATTTGACGCATTGAATACATATATTATATATGTGCAATTTAAATGAATTTGTTAATTTATGCAGATTTTTTTTAATTACCAAAAATTATTTTCCATTCCATTTTCCATGAACTTTTTGAAATTTTCTCTTGTGTGGCATTTTTTTATCCACTCATTTTACAATGGACAATTAGGTTGGTTCCATATCTTGGCTGTTGTGAATAATGCTACAGTGAACGTGGGAGTACAGACAATTCTTTGATAAATGGATTTCATTTGATAGGATGTATTTAAATGTTTTAAAAATATTTTGAATATCACTTCTGCTTCTCATCAGGACAACAACCAACCTTGATTTCTGGACTCAATATTATTACTCCATTTCCTTCCCTCTCTCCCACCCTCTTTCCCTCTCTTCCTTTGTTTCTTTTTTGTTTGTTTGTTCTTGAAATAACATTTTAAAATTACATTACAGTAAGAAAGGCTTAATACTTCACCAAATAAGAAGTAAACAACAAAAAGACTATAGTTTTGTGGTAATATAGACAATTATTATAAACAATAATTGAATGGAAAAATGACAGTTTCATCCATATGCAGTTAACTTTCATCACAGATCATTAAAACTATAGTAGTATAATTTCTTTACCCATTGGTATGGCAAGGTTATAAAATAAAGTTTTACAAAAGTCTATTTGCACCAATACTGATACACACAGACCTTTCTTTCTTCTTTCTTTTTTGTTTTTTAAATTTTAGCTCCCACATAAGGGATGATGCATGGTATTTGTATTTCTAGGTCTGGCTTATTTCACTCAACATGACATCTTCCAGTTGTGTCCGTTTTTCGGCAAATGGTAGAATTCCATTCTTTTTTATGATTGAATAATATTCCATTGTGTATAGAGCCCACATTTTCTTCATCCATTCATCTGATGATAAACACCTTGGTTGGTTCCAAATTTTGGCTATTGTGTGTGCACTGTTGGTGGGAATGTAAGTTAGTACAGACACTGAAAAAGTGTGGAGAATTCTTTAAAAAAAAAAATAACTAGAAATAGACCTTGCAAATGATCCAGCAATGCCATTACCAGGTATACACCCAAAAGATTTGAATACAAGGTATCAAAGAGATACATGCAGCACCATGTTTATTACTCAGTTTTTAAGGTATGAATGGAAGCTACAGAATCACAGCGAAGGAATCCATGGGCTAGAAAAATCATGTTAGTATACATCTCTCCTTGGAACACAGTTGGCAATAATTGGATATTATTATTTTGAGACCATTTTCTGGTAAGTCTTGAAGACACAGGCTTGAGTGTTTACAGAACCCCAAGAACATGCTTTGTCATAGAGCTATCTCCAAAAGCCAGCACACACATAGTCAGAGGAAAGGATAGAACATTGGAGAAGAGCTGGCAAGACTCCACACGTGAGATCGTGCAGTGCTTGTCTGTGTGTGCCTGGCTTATTTCTCTCAGATGCATGTCTTCCAGGAGCACCCACATTGTTGCAAATGACAATACTCCTGCCCTATTTGTGGCTGGATAATATTCCCTTACATACATATAATGGGGCTCCAAAAAGTTTATGGGAAATGGAACTTAAAAATCAGTTTATTTTTGTGCAGGAGAAAGTTTTAAGTTCATGCAAAGAATTTTAGTATTATACATTTTTCCATGAACTTTTTGAAGACCCCTTCATAATCTATGGAATGGTGGCTACCAGTGGATTGGAGGAGAGTAGGGAAGGAGAGCGATGGGGGAAAATTGGTCCTTAGGTACAGTGTTATAGTTAGGAGGAGTAAGTTCTAGTTTTTCATTGCACAGTAGGGTAACTGTAATTCACAATAATGCATTATGTATTTCAGAGTAGCTTTAGGAGAGGATTTTGGATCTTTCCATGACAAAGGATAAATGTTTTAGGTGATATACAATGCCAGTGATTCTGTTGTGATTACTATATGATGTTTCCATATACTGAAACATCACATTATACCTTCATAAATATGTACAATTGTTAGGTGACAATCAAAATAGTATGAAATCTAGACATCTAAATGATTTTGCTCAGAAATAAAATATGCAAATACCACTTGTGGGTATAGTCAGTTCAGATATTTATTTGTCTGAGACTTTGCATTTGAAAGAAAAATGGAAAGGACTGTTTTCTAAATGCAGACTAATCATGTGCTTTGGCTAAGGGCAACTCTGGAAGGTCTTGGTCATCACAAGTGATATGTGAGCTATCTGCTGTGGTCCCATCCTGATTTCACCTGATTACCAAGCTGGCCCCTTGATCAGTCCTTAGAAGGTGTCAGGGGATCTGCTTTTCATTGACTAGTGTGCATCTCAAACTGAATGAATTCCTATTCAGATGAGAGTGTTTGCCTTTGAACCCTGGAATCCTGTAGTCACCCAGATTTCTCTAGGGAAAATGTTTGAATTTTTTTTATTTATATAAGGTGAACAAATTCCATATATGCAGATGTAAGAGCATAACAACACTGCCCATCCTATCTTCTCTCCCCCTTCCTCTCTTATTTTAAGATTCCTGTAGCAGGCAAAGTCATCTGGGAAACCCTGGAGGAATCTCCAGAAACTTCATATTCTCTGTTCTTGCCCTCCATGGACACGCTCACATTACATTTTAAAGGTGGTAATTAATTTTGTGGTATCTGCACAGCCTAGGAAGCTCGTGCTCAGGGTAGGTGGGTGGCAAGAGTCAGCGAGTGAGAACTGAACTCATCCAGCGATAGGTGGGATAAATAAGGCCTCCAATCATTTTTGAGCATGATCTTTCTTTTTTCTATTTTACGTAATTATTTGTTGAAAACACAGAGACAAAGAGCTCCCATTTGCTGACTCACTCCCCCAAGTACCTACAATGGCCAGGGCCAAAGATGGAAGCCAGGAACTCAGTCCAGAACTCCTGTGTGCATAGTGGAGACTCAACCACTTGAACCGTCCCTGCTGCTTCCCAGGGTCTACGTCAGCAGGACACTGGAGTCAGGATCCACTGTGGGATTTGGGCATGTTAACCACTAGGGCAAACACTCACCCCTGAGCTTGACCTTTAATGATGAGCTGTGTTGTATTCTGAATTTCTCTGTTTCTGATCACCAGAACAGTTGCAGGGCATATACAAGAGCTGGTAGTTGCGTTGCTGCATGTTCTCCTGCCCGAATGAACTTCCCATACCCAGAGGAGAAGAGAATCTCCTCCTGTCATCTTCGGTGTCTGCCTGACATAGTTCATTGCAGTGCCGTTGCCAATGCAAAGCAGGCCTCATGTTTGCCTAACTATCCTCCAGGGCTGATACAGGGCTGATCCGCCAGGCCGTGGGATTTCCCACAGCCTTGGACAGCGATCAGAGAGCATAACACAGCCTCTTAATTATTTCTAGCTATTGGGGGAGAGGGGGAACAAATAAAGGAAGTACATTGATAATCAATAATTCAAACCTCTTTTCTACCTGTTCTCAATGAAGCCAACAGCACTTCATTTTATTTTTTCTCCCTATATTTTTTTTTCTTTTTGCTGCGACTGTGGCTGCAGCATCACAGGTATGATTTCACAAGTTAGGGACCCATAACTGACAGTGACCATAAAAGTGTAAAAAAGAGCAAGTGAACATTTCTAATGTGATTTTTGAATACAAAAACACAACAACATCTGCCTTATGCTGTAGTGACCTTAAATAAGAGAAACTATGCAGACAGGAGAGTAAGCTCTACAAGTGGGAATCCTCTCCAGAGAGCTCATGGAGGAATCAGAAATTGGTCTGTGCCTTGGACGCAGGAAACTCAGAAAGCAGGCTTGGGAGGAAGAGGGTCCTGGCATGAGGCGGTGGTAGGGGCCAAAGCTCTGACATGAGACTGGGAGTTAATGTGATTGTGGGGCTACTACAGAGATTTGCGTTGAGGGGCTCCAAAAGCCAAATCCTGTTGGGTGTGACAGGATGAAATAATGGAAGAATATAAACGTAGGCAGAGTAGTTGACCGTGCCTTGGAGGCGTGTGGAATCATGGTAGATTCGTGCATGCTGTTGCCTGAGAATTAGTGCCACAAAGAAGGGAGTAGCCAGAGGATGTCCAGAAAAGATGGACTGTTCTACAGGCCTCAGAGTCGACTTGTAGGTAATTGAAGGGAACAAAGAATGCAGAAGGTAAATTAAAACAGTTAACACCTATCTTTTTGGGGTAGGGAAAAATGTTCCAAAGTAGACAAACCACAATGTAAGAAATAAAAAAAAAAAAAAATGGTCTCTGGGGATAGAAACATGGGAAATGACTGGTCTAGTGAAATAGGAGAGTGGTAATCATGAACTCTAATGATGTATTTGAATGAAGGAGGTAGAACCCTACTGAAGAGATTGGTTACAATTTAGGCTCTGTTTTGTGGTTTGATGCCTGGATCTTAAAAACAACACGGATCTGGTACCACACATATCCACATGTGTTCAAAACCAATAGGAGCAGATTTCTAATCAGCACAACCTACAGCTCCCCGTGCCCCCTGCCGGCCTCCCACCCTGTGGCTGGTAGATTGGCCCCATCTGTCCATGTCTGTGTCTCTCCTCAGGTCTCCCCTATCAGGTCCCCAGCATGTGGGCTTGCATGCAGCTGGCCATGTGTTCCCCAGCCAAGGCTGGGTGTGGGTGGATGGGTGGGTGGGGGTGCAGTTATAAATAGCTCCTAAGAACAATGGATGCCATGGGAGTGCTTAGGGAGCTTAGAATATATAAATGCAAGCCAAAAAATTAAAGACTGAATCACCACCAAAAATAAAAGGTAGATTGTTCTCACTCTATCATCTAGATACCCACATTCTTCTACATACATACACACACACACTCAGCAGTATTTGAATTACAGTAATAAAATGACAAAAGCATATTGCAGAACAATATGTAAAAGACAAATCTGTGTTTCTTTGGATAAAAATTGATAAATTACTGGAAATTTCACATAGCTGTGTGTCTAAGCACATATGTGTATAATTTACATATGATATAAAAGCACAGGGAAAATCCTAGACCATTGTATACGTAACAACATTAATTATAGTTATCTTTTAGTGGTGGAATTATTTTTTTATTTGGGATGCAAATAATGCCTAGTAAATATGTAAATAATAAAAGTGATTTTCAAAAAACAATGACAATTTAAAACATGAAAAGCCACTTTTGAATTTTCAACTTGTAAATATAGCAGAAGATTGTGCAACTGAGTTATAATTATGATCACTTTCCCTGTGCTTAGGAGGTCCCTCTCTCTGAGAGGTATAAGTCAGACTTTGAAAAGCTGCTGTGATTTTCCCAACCTACAGCTCAGCTGCTACTGATTCAAAATTGCAACAGTTATTTGCCTGCAGGAGACAGGAGGGACCCTTCTGGGCCCATCTGTATCCCACAGCTATCACGGGCCCCTTGGGGAGGCAGAAATGAACTGAAGTTGACCACACGGAGTGCCACATTTGTTGCCAGAAAGTGGTGGTAATGGCAAAAACACAGCCCCAATTAATCAGGATCTCTTGGCGTGGGGCCCAGGCATGGGTATTTGTTTACAAAGCTCCCTAGGTGATCCTAATGTGCAGCCAACATTAAGAGCGTGGCCCTAATGGATTCTTTGGCTGAGGGGTCCTTTGCACACAGCCTCTGGAGAGAGGTAAAAATTCAAGTGGAGAGGATTGGGTTGACCCAGGCCAAGTTGTTGCATGCCCTGAGTGGTTATGCAAATGGAGCAGAAGAAGAGTGGAGTGTGGAGTGAGCAGTTCTTGCAAAGCTGGTAAGGTCGGTGGGTGGCCCTCTCAGATCATTCCTCTCCGGTTGGGAAAATGGTAGCAGCTTGCCGTCCAGGTCTGGTTGCATCACAAAGGCAGCAGAACCCAACTTTATTGCTGATGCCCGTGGGCCAGTGCTGTCTGCAGCACCGAGGCTTCCCGCCTTTTCTGAGAGAGGACGCACATGGATGCGTGAGGTGGGCTGGACCTTCGCATGACAAATCCCCCGAGAGAGCTGGGGCCCTTGGTGTAATTTCTCCTCTTCCTCCAGAAAATCGTTTTTTGAGTGGATTTCTGTAAACTGCCTTTGGTTGCTACTTTGCAGGTTTGCAGACTTACAGTGGGCGAAAGCAAGGGAGCCCAAAGGGCCCTTCAGCCTCTACTGACTATTTTCCTGTTTCAGGAAACTAAAATTGTGAGTTGCCTTGAACTCCTGACAGCAGAGGCCAAGACATGACATAAAGTTCAATGTCCACCCCAGGACTGCCAAGGTTCACTAGGGTTTCTGGGCTTGGGGTTGTGCTTTGGCTCCCTACAGCAATGAAAACTGACAGCTTTTTCTCCACCCTGAAAAAAGTGAGGATCATAACAGGCGTCATCATTCCTGACTCCCACTGATTGCATTTGTCGCTGCCAGACACCTGCTAGCCCCATACTCCATGCTTAATCCCCCATCCCAACCTTCAGGGACATTTTTAGTCCCATTTTACTGTGGAGAACATTGAGGTCTTGCAGACAAAATGCAGAAACTGGAGATAAAAATTCCCTTCTCGCCGTGAGAATGTGCACTCGTTTCCACAGGCATGCCTTGCCCGTAACAATGGCACAAGAGCTAGGTCACAGGGAGACTGCCCTACTCCTGCCCTCTTGTCCCTGGCCTCATTTCTCTGTCTTGCTACCTTAGCTCGGGGGCTTTTCAGTCCCATGCCTCTTCCTTCCCTCAGAGCATTATCTGGTAGAACTCCACGACCCCATGTTTGTTCAGAGCCTGGCTGTATTAGATTTATTTTTCTGGGGAGTAGTTATATATCTCACCTGTTTTTAATGTAGTTTCATTTTGCTACCAAGCATAATCTCCATTCCTGCGGTTTAGAGGGAAGAAAATATTGTTAAGCTCAGCCAGAGTTCTAAACAGATGTTCTGCACGTCTCCTCCTGTAGTTGTAGCCATGCATCACTTTGAGACATCTTAGCCTTGGCCTGCCAGCATCACTGTGCCCATGCCAAATGCTTTCAGATACCGTGCAATAAGCAGAAACTGAAGTTGGGTTAAACCCACCAAAGTCATTTTATTCTAATTCTTGAGTGCATTAGCATCTGGACTTCATGGGGTACCACCTGCTTTGGGAACACTAGTGGGGTTGAATCTGTGCAGTAAGGAGAATGCAAGTGTTCTGTTTTAAGAAACCTGACTCCCTCAAAATCTTAATGCAGGCACATCAACATGAACAAATGCTTGCTTTTTTATGGGCAGTTTGCATCATAATGCAGGATTTATCAGAAATTACCCTCTTCCATCTCACTTTCCTCTTTTATCTAAAAAAAAAAAAATTAGTGGCCCATTTGCAATCATTTGATGTATGTACATCGTTTAAAAGCTACTTCCTTAGCTTTTGAAGATCTTCATTTAAAACACACTGCCAGGCCAGCATTTAGTCTACTAGTGAGGAAGACCGTGTCCCATGTTGGTGTGGGTTTGGTTCTCAGCGCCAGCTTCCTGACAGTGCAGACCCTGGAAGGCAGAAGTGATGGTTCAAGTAGTTGAGGTCCTGTTACACAAGTGGGATACCTGAGTTGTGTTCCTGGCTCCTGGCTTTGGCTAGCCCTGACAAACGGGCATCTGGGGAGGCAACCAGGAGATGCAAGCACTTCTCTCTCTCTCTCTCTCTCTCTCTCTCTCTCTGTGTGTGTGTGTGTCTCAAATATTTTTTAAAGCACACTTCCCCTTTATGTACCACAAAGCCTTTCTCTTAAAATCATTAAATGCAAGGGTGAGTTAGGGAAGAGGCAAATTTGAAGTATAGCTGGGTCTGTCTGCCTGGGAGGAGTTAGGGTGCAGGTGCTGAGATAACATTTATGAAGTTTTCTAATGTGCACTGTGTGAGATTGGATTCCATTTAAAAATCCAAAGTGACAGTCTCGCCCCGAGGGGCTCCTCTTTCAGCAGACAGAGAAAGGAGCTGCATGGGTGACCGTTCCAGGTCCCCTCCCACTGTGGGAGTCGGTGAATGATGAGCGAGTGGATGGCCTTGATTCTTGTCCTTTGAAGGGACTTGGTGGAGGGACAGACACCATGCTGATCTTCTGGCTCCTCTTGGCCTGGCCTCTGCAGGGTCCTCCTCTCCAGGATCTCTGCCTGCCGTGGGACAGTGGCTGGGAGAGTAGGGATTAGAGGGGTGAGGCACAGGCATCAAGTCTCAGCATGACCCGCAAGATTCGAAATGGGGCAGGAGAGAGGGTTGCTGGAGGACGCTGGGGAGAGCTGGTATCGATGCCTTTCCTGAGCTCGGACCTGGTGCCGCTGCTGAGGTCTTCAGTCTTTACCCACCAGCTTGGATGCAGGCCCTCATATGTGCCGTGGCGATGTGATGCCATTTCTTCCCTGGAAAGAGAACGGCACACATTTTAAGACATAATGGCTATGTGAAAAGGGCTTTCTTAGGGCAGACATCTGAGCTGCTCCCAAGCCTGCACCCACAGCCAGTGAGAATGGGGACACAGGCAGAACTGGGATCTTTTTGATCCCTGCCAAGGTTCCTGCAGATCCTTGCAGGATCCCTGTAAGTATGTATTCACTGATTCACTTTTCTATCATCGCCTACAGCGCGATGGCTTCCCTTACGTGAGCAAGCCTCTGACTGTAGATAAAAAAGGTACAGGCTGCAAGCAAACCGCTCTCATCCTGCTGATAGAATCTAGTCAATGCAAGAGGAAAAAATGCCAGGAAACCGGAGAGGAAAATACATTTTTAAAAAATGAAGTCATCATCGTAGAAAAATATTTCAAAACAGCCAAATAAAAAATTAGAATGGAAGCGAAAAGGCACGGCAAAACAATCCATATTTGCAAAAAAAAAATGGAGAAAATGTTTCATTTATCCAGGGAGATAAGACTGATACAGGAAATACATCTGCCACTTGTAAACTTATTAAATGCAACTTTCTCTTTCTCTTTCTTTCTTTTAGATAAAAAACCTCTTCATGAAATAAAACCCCAAAGTAAGTTATTTTTCCTCTTGTGAATATAATTTATTCTCCTATTTGCTGCCTGTCTGTTGTATTTGCTTAGGAACCAAGCAGAACTGAAGTTCCTGTGAAAGGGCTCTCGGGGTTGGTCCTCGTTCAGTTTGGAGTCACATATCAGAGGTTTAAATCAGAAAGAAATATGCACACCTCTTCCCTCCCCCGCAGTAAAATCTCTGCTCTCGATTCTTTCTGCCTGTAAGTCCATTGCTCTGCCATGTCAGCTAGGATTCTGGTTGCCGAAGAGATTGATAGCATTACAACTCATAAACATTTGTCATGAGCAGCGCCTTTGGGCTGAAGCCTGGCTCCACACAGCCCAGGGTCCTAGCTGCGGTGGCGTCTACGGCTGCTGTGCAGAGGACCTGACGTTCCACTGAAAAACAATTAGGAATGGAGGGTGTTGGTGCCGGCGCCAGCTTGAGCTCCCCTTCTCCGACCCCCCTCCCCCACATCATTCAGGCTTCCTTCCCGAGGGGCTCTGTGGTGTCTCCATTGCATGTGTTATGTGGATTTGGGGGACGTGTGGCTGGACTGAGTGGCAGCTTGGGGTCTTGGGCTTGACTGCACTTTGGAATCACCTGAAGGCCTTGGAAAACACCCCAGTTCCCAGCCTGTTCAAAATCAGAATTTGGGGTGGAGAAGATCAGTCTAGAACTCGGGAATCTTTGTTGTTGTTGTTTTGCATACATATTTATATATACCAAAGGCAGAGCTACAGAGAGAGTACTAGAGAGTACGAAACAGAGATCTTCCATCAGCTCGTTCACTCCCTATGTGGCTGCAACAGCCAGTTCTGGGCCAGGCCCAGGCTAGGATTCTGGAACTCTCTTGGGGTCTCCCATGTGGGTGGCTGGGGTCTAAGCACTTGGGCCATCCTCTGCCTTCCTGAGCACATCAGCAGGAAGCTGGATGCAAGTGGAGCAGCTGGGACTCCAAGAGGCACTCGGGTATGGAACGCCGGCATCACCGGCGTGGTTTAACCCACTGTGCCACAGTGCCAGCTCCAGGGACCTTGTTTTGTTTTGTCTGTAGTCTCCTTGGGCTGAGAACCTCCCTCTTCAGAGTGTCCGAAGACTGCAAATGTCAGAATCTCAAATGTGTTAAATATGAGGGGATGGGAGCCAGCGCCATGGCTCATTTGGTTAATCCTCCGCCTGCGGTGCTGGCATCCCATATGGGCGCCGGGTTCTAGTCCCGGCTGCTCCTCTTCCAGTCCAGCTCTCTGCTGTGGCCTGGGAGGGCAGTGGAGGACGGCCCAAGTGCTTGGGCCCTGCACCCCATGGGAGACCGGGAGGAAGCACCTGGCTCCTGGCTTCGGATCGGCACAGCGCCAGACGTAGTGGCCATTTGGGGAGTGAACCAATGGAAGGAAGACCTTTGTCTCTGTCTCTCTCTCTCTCACTGTCTAATTCTGTCAAATAAAAAAAAATATATATATATATATATATATATATGAGGGGATCGGCTTTAGTGCACCCCAGTTGGCATCAACGTGTAGCTCTTTCATAACATGCATTTTTCCTGGGCTTTGTGATGACGCCTCAGGTGCCCCCAGCTTGGAACGGAGCAAATTATTTCCACAGCCTGGTGCTGGGAGCTCCTGAGAACCTACCTGCTAATGTGGTCCCCACGTCCTTCTTCTGCCCCGAGGTGAGGCTTCCTAGGGAAACCTCAGGACCTAAAGGTGGTGGCAGCACAGCTCTTCTCCATCTGGGAAGGAGAGAGCAGCCTGACTGGTTTGGTTTGAGAAGGATGCCTCTCTCTGCCACTGTCTCTCATTCCCATTTCCAACGAATGACTTTGGAGCTTTTAAATGCTGAGATATTAAAATTCAGAGAGCTTGGGAAAGTTAATAGTTTTCATTCGCTAACATTTGTGAGAGAACTCAGCCTCCGTGAGGACAGACAGAAATAATTACCTTGAGCCACGAGAGAAAGATCCAGTCACGCCATTCTGTTCATAGTTCCTGATATCGCTCCAGGCAGCGTCGACCCAGACAGATGCCGTTACTTACGTGTCCGTGCATTCCATAAAACAGAACAGACTTTCTTAACTCCTTGTCCTGCTGTCATCTCATCGAGGAATCATCAGAACAGTGGTGGTGCCTTCTGACACCGTGCATGCTGGATTCGGAACTTAGAGGAAGCCGGAGGCTGGGGGAACCCGGCTGAGTTTGCTGTGTTCTTGTGTGTGTGCGCATGTGCATGGTGAGTGACAATAGAAAGAGATGGATTGCTGGATATGTATCCGTGCCCGTGTCAAGACCCCAGGGTGACAGCTGGGTAGGTGGACTCTCTCCTTAGATGCCTGCCTCACATCCTCACACAGTAGCTGCTGAAAGCACGTTTGATGGTAGCTAAAGTTCTGCTAACGCAGGGTGCAGATCTGCTGGGCGGCACAAGCCAGCCACAGGTATCCATGTGGGGGCCCGCGTAAGAGTTACCTAGAATTGCATGTGTGTGTTTTTAAAATGAATTTCATGCTTAGTTTGTGAGTCCTGTGCCATTCTAATTTGGTTACATCTGTACTTCCAGCCATAAACCCCAGAGAAGCTATTCCCAGTTCCTCAGGGACTCCTGAATTAGTTTTTGCTTGAGGTTCTCGCTCCCAAGCACCATGCTTAATTGCTGGATACTGCAGTGGAATCACTTAAACTGTTTTAATTTGTGATTTCCCTAAAAATAAAACCTTAACGGAATCAATGTGATTGCAAAAGGCTCCCCGGGGAATGCGGTCGGCATTCTGTGGGCTGCATGGTTAAGAGTGCATTATACAAATCCAGGCTACGGTGGTTCAGGAAGAGGGGCTTCGTTTAAGACTACATGAATCATCACTGATGCAAAATCAAAGTCAATTATGAAGATAATTGAGAAACAACCTGTTCCTATATATAGCTGTACACACGATCCTCCACAAGGCCTGCCGAGCAGAACACATCTCTCAGAGCTTTGCACTCGGTGCTCCGTGAGCGGGTGGGCAGAGGAGTAAAAAGACAGTGAAGTCTTAAGATATCTGTTGGCAAATCATAATGACAAACTGGGGAAAATGTGTGCACCGCATAGCTCATGAAAGCACTTATTGTAAATGAGATAATTTAATCAATTACGTTTCCTAATGTACTAAACCGAATGTTTCATTTTCTGCTTCTGCACATCTTAAATTATCTTCAGGTGCTTTATGAGATTTAATCATAGTTAATAGAAACTTCATTACCATCAAATGTGCTTTCAATAAATGTTGTGTAACAATGTCAGGAGGTGCTGTAAAATATAGTGGGTTCTGAATGGCAAACACGCACCCCCAGAGTCAGACTGAAAAATGGTTGTGTTCAGACAAAGAGACTCCTTGGAGCCTTCGAGGATGTGGTTTTCAGAAAGGCTGTGAGCTTCAGAGGAGGGGCCGCTCTGGCAAGTTCACCATGGGGACGAAGAGCATCTAGCTCCTCCCTGGCCCTGAACCCAGTGCTGCACATTCTGTCTTGCTCTCTTCCGCATGGTGGTTTGTGTCCACCAGAAGTGAGACTAGGAATCCAATCATTGGGACCAGAGTCAGCTGTCTCTGGGACATACCAAGTTGAAACATTTCCTCCTTCTCTGACCCTTTAATCCGTTCGTTAACTGTCTTCTCTATGCAGTACAGTCTACCGTCAGTTCACTTGTCTAGACATAAACTTGGACAACCTCGAAGTCCCCTTTATCCTCTTCATCTTTTTTCTCCTGCTAATCCACCCCCACCCCCCGCCAGAATCACCACACTTGGACTATTCTGCCACTAAAGCAGATCCGCAGTTCATCTGTTTTTCTCCATTTCCACTCTAATCCATCCCTTCATTCACTCAACAGATAATTATTGAGTGCTTACCTTCTACTAGTAGATGCTCCAGAACATGAAGAGTCATCACTAAGAAAAATATGTGCAATTTCTGCTTCCATAAACCCCACAGTCTAAATGAGGAGAGATGGAAATACAGATGCAAAGAGGAAAATGTAGAGTGCTTAGTGCTATGCACATGGGATGAAGTGTTGTGAAGAGAAAGCAAGGAGGGTGAGGGACTTTGGCAGGGTTGAGGGGACTGTTGATTTTCAGTGTGGGGTGTGCAGGGAAGATGGCTGTAATAAAATGACACTGGAGAAGAGACATGCAACGTTCCGGAGCGCCGGCCAAAGGGGGATTGGCAGGATGCAGAGGCTGGGAGGTGGGAGCTTGCTTGAAATATCTAAGGCACGGCAAGGAGACCAGTGTTTCTAGCACAGCGTGGTCAGGCCAGTGGCCTTTTCTGGGATCAGAGAAAGCAGGGTGAGGAAGAAAACTCCCAAGTGCATTATTATGCCATTGTAAGGGCTTCAGACTATTCTCAGGGAGATTGGAAGTCACTGAGGATTTTCCTTCAGAGTGCCAAATCCTAGTATTTCCAAAAGTAAACTCTGACTTCTGCACTACGTGTAAACCCATGCAGGACCGGGAAAGAAGCAGGAAGGTCAGTTGCAGTGACCTATTGCCATAGCAATCTGTTATAACCCAACTAATGGAATAATTCAGGTTCAAGATGACTGTGGTTTGGGCCTGATAGGAATATAGGAATTATAATCATCGGTCCTACTGTGAGTATGACTCTTTTGAAGGCAGAGGCGAAAGGATTTGCAAATGGATTGGATATAGAGTACGAGAGAAATACTAGCAATGATTCCAACAGTTTGGCTTTGCAACTGGAAGCAGGAAGTTGTCTGGGGAAACTTGAGCTAGCAAACCTGGAAGGAGAATCAAGAATTTGAGATCCTTATTAAACAGGTAAATGGAGAGTTTGAGTACGCACTTGAATGAATGAGTCCAGAGGGCACAGGACTGTCCTGGCTGGTGACAGAAATCTGCAGCTATTAGTGTCCAGAGGACATTTAAATCCATGAGGTTGGATGAGATCACCGGAGAAGGAATCTGGGTAGAGAAGAGAAAGATGTGAGACAGCCCTGAAGACA